TAATAGTTATCCCAGCAGGCCCCGTTCCTCCTCTTGCACACAGAGCAGTGATCACTATAACCCATGGCCCCCTCTCGTAGCCCGCTAGCTATATATTAGTTCCTCCCCTCGCCCCGTTATACACTCACACCCGGCACTTCCTTACCGGAGTGTCTCTTCCATTCACCGCCTAGTTCTCGACTCTCAGATCTCCTCCGGCCGCCGCGGTTTGAATTTTCGCGCTTTGCGGCACACGTACTGTCAAGTGACCGGAGCGGCCAATGGCGGCACTCGTACGTCTGACGTCAAACCCGACCCCGCCAATGGCTGGTGGGTTCGCCGCATCCACCAGTCGGCTGCCAATCGGGGTTTGGGCGTTTGGGGGGAAGAAGGAGCAGCTGGGGCCAATAGCAGAGCGGATCGTCACGTGGGGCGGTAGCCAATGTGAGGGAGAGAAGGAGGCGAAGTGGGACGGAGGGAAAGGAGCAGTCGGGAGATTTGGGTGAGGAGGGGGTGCAGAGCTTGGTTGGGGGGCATAGAGGAGGGGTGTTTGGCGATAACTTGCCGTTATTATCCTACATTGTTATTGACATCTTTCCACAGAGGGGCTGAATCTCTTTGTATGCCACAGGGAACTGCTGACTCAAAGTTCACAGTCAGATGATCCGTCAGAGAAATGAGGCAGGAGTAGCAGGTATCACACTATAGCAACTGAGTACTGCCCATAGCAACCAGCAAGTATCACGCCATAGCAACTGAGCATTGCCCATCCAACAGGTATCACCCAGAGCAACCAACAGGCCTCATCTTTTATTTTACTGAAATATGAAACAGCATATTTGGGTGTTTCAGGCAACATCTTCCCTTTCATTGTACATATGGGTAACCAGTGACTTAAAGTATACCCCTTTGTACTAGTCAACCTTTTATGTGCCAGTTACTAGTGCTATGGCAACTGAGGAGGGCTGCAGTGGGGTGATATAGCGGATCTCTGCTCAGTAACCCACAGAAAACTTTATAAACAATGGATATTTCCTGAGCTAGTGGTATTGACAACAATATGTAACATGTGTTTATCATTGTCATGAATTCTTTGTTTTCTTCTTTTGGGCTCATGTTGATGGGTCTTGTTCTCTTGTATTGACATACATTTGGAACGCAGGTTAGGAAAGTTCCTTTGACTACAATGGAGCAGCGCACATAGTTCAGAGGCTGCGTTTCTACTGCTTATGCTGTTTTGCATTGCGCTGCGTTTCTTTGGATGCATCGTGTCCTATTGAAGTGCGTTTGACCTATAGGCAAAGCAAGTCAGACTTGGCCTTTTCTTTGCCAAATGCTATGTCTGCTATTCCATCACATACATTTGTATAACAAATGTAACTTTTGAAAAGAATGCCCGTTAACAGCCCTAAAGTATTTTAGTAGCCAAAACTGTTGTTTCAGGCCCATTCACACCGGAAGCGTTGGGACGGTGCTGGCCACACACAGGCAAGGCTATTTGCCTTGTTTTAAATGATCACAGTTCACGCCACCATGTTGCGGTGGTGCACACTGGGAAAAAAAAAGTACTGCAGGCTGTATTTTTTTTTGCTTTAGCCAATCATGGTGCGGCGCTGTGCCCATAGAACTTAGTGACATTAAACTCAGCAGTTAAAGTGACATTAAAGGATTTTTCTTTTTCCTCCCCCCCAATGTTAGTGTAGGGACTTACCTTAAATGATGTCTCTTAATCCGATCTCCTTCCTTACTGTCCCTCCAGTGCTGCTGCAGGTCTCCGATCCAGCGCTGACTCCCCTGTCCTCCTCTTCTCTGATGTCCCACGGAATCTGTGCGGGTGCACACTGCTCCATATACTTACCTTGTGTCATCTCCCAGCTGAAGATCTGAACTGCACATGCGCCCGGCCCAAGATCCTTTGCAGCCGCCCGAGAAATTTTCAGATGTTCGGATGGGAATGCGCGGCGAAGACACAGGTAAGTTTAAACCTCTTTCAAAATGTTTTTTTTATATACTGGTGAAACTCGAATACTTAGAATATCGTGCAAAGTTAATTTATTTCACTAATGCAACTTAAAACGTGAAACTAATATATGAGATAGACTCATTACATGCAAAGCAAGATAATTCAAGCCGTGATTTGTCATAATTGTGGTGATTATGGCTTACAGCTCATGAAAACCTCAAAAAGTATATCTTGCTAGCTGTAGATATATGCAAAAACAGTGAGGGTTTCATCACCTTTTAAATCTTAAAAATGCATTCAAGTCCCCCAACTATGTACAAAAATGTATCCTATTTGTGTATCACTCGGCCTCTAGATCTTCAAATCATCTCTGAATCGGTGCTGACAGTGTCCTTCCTTCTGGGGGATGGATACTTTTGTTCTCCATGGTCCCTGGAGCCACCACTCCAAGCTCACTCACTTGATGGACTACAATCTCAATACAAATTAGTAAACTATACATGGGATTGTAGTCCATCACGGGAGCGAGCTTGGAGCGGTGATTATCTTACAACACACACAGGGACCATGGGGAACAAAAGTAGCCCCCCTCCAGAAGGAAGGACAGTGTCGGCACCAATTAAGAGATGATTGGAGGATCTACAGCCGGGTGATATACAAATAAGATACAATTTTGTTATTGGTTAAGGTACTTAAATGCATGGTTGAGATTTAACTCTCGAGTTTAGTGTCACTTTAATTAAACATTTGTGACATTTCAATAAAGTTCAAAAAAAAAAAAAGTTAACAATACCATGCACTGGGATTGGCTCATTAGCACAGTGCCTTTCAATGCACACCAGCAGTTGAGTGTTCTTAGAGCGGCTTGCTGGTGTGAATGGGTCTCTATAGAAGAGAATGGATACAATCCATGTTAATTTTATTGTCTGTGTTCTTTTGATAAATTTCTTGTCCTGTGGACATAACTGGAAGTGAGAGGAAATCTCTCCAGAATGAGGGAATTTCCCTCTTCGTTGTCATCAGAACATGTGTCCCCAGTGGAAGATTTTTCATTTCCTGTTTTGGTGAAGGCTGTAAAATTTTTGACTTCCGTCACGTTCTGTCCGACAGACAATGGACACCTGGACATATAGAGAAGGTGAATCTTCCCAGTGGAGGCGCACACCGCTATAAAATTAGACAAGGCTTCTAACCCTTACATGCGCCATCCAAAACTAAAGAAAAAGAGTTTGGGCTTTGGATGGATTTTAACCCCTTCCTGACGGGAGACGTACACTGTACGTCCAACCACAAAGGGACCAAATGGCTTGTCACGTACACTGTACGTGACGAGTTATTTGCTTCTTTAGAGGGCTGTTAACGCTGAGAATCAGCTTTTAACATTCATTAATGGATGTCCTTACTACAGAGGCATTCATTAATGAAAGGGTTAACCTTTTTCAGACACCCGATACCTTAATATCGGGTGTCTGAGAGTCAAAGCAGAGGGACACAGTTGCCGGCTTTTGTCGCCGGCATTCTGACAACTCGTATAGATCGAGAGAGATACCTCTCTCAAGCTATACTGGCTTTTTTTTCTTTTTTTCTTTCATGAATAGATACATAATGTGTCTATTCCTACAATGTATCTATTCCTGAAAGAAGAATGTTTGTTTGCTGATCGTTGTTGCAACAATCAGAAAACCTTTAGTGACAGCTGAATCCTGAACTGCTGCAGGATCAGTGTCACTAACTTATTATCGGCTGTTCTGAAGTTTGAAGCAGCCTGATAATAACCAAAAATGTATTAATTTATCAAGCAGTAACAGTGAGATTAATTCACAATGACTGCTTGATATAATTAAATAAATAAAATACAATTTTTAAGTTTAAAAAAAAAGTGAAAAGTGTAAAAAATAAAATAAAATAAGGGACAAATAAATGAATGTATTTATTGCATTTTTTTTAGCTGTGCTGGTGTTGTAAAAAAAATACTACAAATCAAAACTGGGAAAAAAGTGTTTTTTTTTAACGTTTTTTTTCCTCTTTTTTTTATATTTTATTTGTCCTAAGTGAGGCGTTAGACACACATATGTGATATAAATATGTAGCCCTATCTGTCCTCTAAAAAACAATATATAATATGTGTGGGTGCACTTTGTAAGAAAGTATATTACTGACGTGGAAGAATCACACAGCAAAAATGTCAAAAGTGTGTCCAGTCATTTACGAACAGCAACTAAAAACAAGCTCAGTCATGAAGGGGTTAATAATGTTTCTCTTTTTCTTTTTCAGATTTGGGACCTGATGTGAGCAGTTAGCAGACACCTCCCTGCAGCCATTAGATGTAGGATCTCTGGTTGCTCCTGTGCATGGCCCATCCTCTGTACCCTTCCACCATGCGGTTCCCACCCTGTGAGAATCTGAGTGCTCATGCCTGCCAAGAAAAGGACTGCTTGTAACCCCCGGAAAGGACGCCTGACCTTCTTGGAGAGTCCAGAGCAGGGGCCCATTCATGAGTATGGGGCTGCTCCATCAAAGGCAGATAACCCTATATGTGTGCCCACCAAGCTCCTGGATGACAACGCAGCCACATCGTGGGTAAATTTGCACTTGCTCATACACCGTTAAAGTGTAAGAAAAGGCTACACAATAGCCCTTCTGTTAAAGGTTGCCTCCCCATTTCTCTGATGCCACCCACATACATTTCCTAATAAATCGACATCTCGATAGACTCCAGTGAAAATAAATATTCAAGACGAACTACATGCACATAAAAGGCTTACCCTTGCAGTGTGGCTACCCCCGCAGTGCAAGGGTTAAGTGCTCGTTTTGGTATAGGGGCTGGAATAAAGCAGTTTTTCTTACCTTAGTCTCGCAGCAGTCAGCGCTCCGCTTCAGCTATGGAATGTCATTTGCAGGAAGGTCTCATGCAGGTCTAATAGACCAGCATGGGATGTGATGGCATCAGCTGGCTTTAGACTGCCGGGGGAGAAGAGACTGTGAGGTCCGGTGTAGCAGCCTGGAGGGAGTGAGGATCAGGTAAGTAATTCTGCTTTATTTCTGGTAGGTAAATACTGGCCCTCCTGCTGTGCTGTAACTACAAATCCCATTAGGCATTGCAAGATTCTAACAGCCACAGGCTTGACTCCCAGAGATGGATGCATGATGTGATTTTTGGTTTCACCACAACTGGAGGGCTGGAGTTTGCCCACCCCTGTCCTACACCAAAACAAGCACCTAATCCTTGCAGTATGGAGGCAGCCGCACTGCAAGTGTAAGCTTTTTTTTTTTTTTTTTTTTTTTTTAAGTTTTAAATTTTTATGCTTTTGCAAAAAAGAAAGTGGCATACGCATTTGCCACTGATCCACCTGCAATGATGTTATCCTGCCAGCATCCATAGTGCTAAAGGTGTGGTCAGCTGGGAGAGCGTTCATGGCCGCCACCAGCAGAGAAAGAGGATGGATCTGGAGCTTTGCAGTCTCCACATAGCAAGACTTGAAAGGAATGTATTTAGATGGCGAGTTAAAGGAAAATCTATGCAGGGAGTATCGGAGCAATAGGTAGACAACATTTACCAGTTGGGTTATTTAGCCTTTCCTTCTACATTTAATGGATTTTTCTTCATGTATTTATTCATTTTGGCAGTGGCGGAGCTAAGGAACAAAGGGCCCTGGTGCAAGATTTTTTTTTTGCCCCCCCCCCC